TTTAGATCTGAACTCCTGACTCCAGGGCCAGCACTCTATCCATTGTGCCATACAGTTGCCCTTTGTAAGCCTTAAAGAGCAATATAAATACAGATTATTTTTAAAATTACTAGATAAGAGATGGAGAATCAGGACACCGGAAAAGTTAAAAAAAAAAAATTAGCGAATGGGGGAGGGGGTATTCCTGCTACTTCCACACTGGCCAAAAGGCTAGTTAGAAGGAATAAAAATTCACCAGAGTGAAAAAGAGCCTAACTTTGTTATCTGAGCTTCCTTAAAACCCCAGCATTCTTCTTTTCTCCTGTTGAGGTCATTCCCCTCGATGATTTCCCCATCTCTCTCAGACCCACAGATGTCATGCCCAGACTCATCCCCTGGTCTGCCTCTTGGTTCAAAGCTGCCTGAAGACACACACACAAAGAGGGGAAATTGCAGTCTAATTGATATACCTCTGCTTTGAAAGGCCCACTGGTTCCCAAGTCTTCTCCTCACAGTTGGACCAGGAGTCAGGAGTCCTCGGCCCTATTCCTCTCTGGTCTTTACTGATAGCCTATTTTATTCTATTCTAATAGGATACAGAACTAGAAAGGACTGCAGAGACCTCTTGGTTCACGCCTTTCATTTATAGACAAAGAAACTGAGGTCCAGAGAGGTGAGGGATTTGTCCAAGGTTGGCAGAGCTGGGATTTAAACTGGGTCCTGTGACTCTGAATCCAGTGCTCTAAGCTCCAGCTAAGAGATTACCTGGCAGGCTGAACGCCATTAAGTAAGCAAAATGTTTTAGAGGGGCTATTTTATGAGAACTATCGAAAATATGGACTATCCGGGGAAATTTGTAGCTTAGCATAAACACACAAATGACTCAAATAATGAAAACAGCCTCAGTAGTAATCCTAAAAATCACACAAGTAGTAAACCACAGAGCCAATATTCAAATCTGTGTCCCGTGATTCCAAATTTAGTATTCTTTCCAGGGCAGCAGACTCTTTCCTTCCTTCCCCCTCAGTGCATCCCCTTCCCTCCCCCTCAGTGCATCCCCTTCCCTCCTCTTCCCTTGCCTCCCCTTCTCTTCCATTTCCCATGGTTTTTTGTCCAATGAGGACAGTCCTTTGAAGGAGTGATGGTGACCAGGTTTTAAAAACCCTAATCCTTCTATCCCATAACAGGAACATCCACTGCCCTCTGATTTTTTGGCAGGCCCTGAGAAAAGCCCAGCTAGAGTACCTCAAGGGCCTGGGCAAAATGAAGAAAAACTGCATTTGCTACTGGGAAGTATTCCTTATTACATAAGTCACTAGATAAGGTTAATTTAGCTAATGTTTCTCTAAAGGTTTTGCATGAGGGGTTATGCTAAGATATTAAATTCTCTTCAGTTTGATGACCATGAGATGATGAAATATTATTCCATGAGATACATGTAAGGGAGGAAGGATGTGATTTCCCTGACCCAACTTAGTTGATACAGTCACAAAATATAGTCACACAGATGAGGTAATGAGGTGTTAACACCTTTATGAGGTGCAAACACCTCTCTGACTGAGGCAGAGAAAGGAACAAAGAGATTGAGCAAACAAATTAGCCACTCCTGTGGGTGTCTTAAATAACTAAACCAGAATAGTTCCAGGGAGTTCCAGTCCAGAATGAGTTTATGCAATAAGACCTAGGGGGAAGGAGAGTTGGGAAGAAAGATTTCTTTATCCCTTGCCCCTCGGCAGCCATGATGTCTAGCAGCTACTTGCCCACAGAAAGACAACCTATGCAGCATTTTGAAAGTTTTTGGTTTGAGAACATTCAGGGCACATTTAAGGGAGGAGACACACATGCTCCTGAAAAACACAGATACAGAAAGGCAGTCACTTGAGGAAAGGAGCAGTCTTGAGGAATGGGACCCCTGGCAGTAGAGAAGAGAGCTGGATATGGACTTAATTAGAGAGAGAGAGCTAGTTCTGGAAATTGTGAGTTGAACTGTGGAGTGGAACAGCTTCTGGGAGCCCAGACAAGCAACTCACATAGCAGAGACATCACACCCAGTGGGAACAGTGGAAGGATTCTGCACAGATTTCTAGGTCTTGCAGTACCAGGGGTTGAGAGATGCCTTGATTACACATGTGCCCTACACATGTGTCTCAGTACCATTAAACTCTAAATTTGATCTCAGTTTCCCCATAAATGCTGAATGTACATACAGGACAGTCACTTCTGATTTGGGGAGGGGATGTTTTGTAGTGTTTCTCCCCCTCCCCCCCATTATTGGTTTGATGCATATTAAAGACTTTCATGAGCTATAGTTTTGGCAGTAGCCATACATAGGCTACCCTTGCACCCAAAGTGGCAGCTACCCTCTGGGAACCCAATCCCTAAGTATGAGTAAAAATAAATTAAGGGAGTACCTGGCTGGGAAGTACTATGTATACATTGTCCTTGTCCTGGACCAGCTAGTTTTGAGGGATCCATGAATGAACCTGCTTTTTCCACCTGTCATTCCTGACAAAAGAGCTCAGGCCCAGGACAAAAAAACCCAGAAGTTACCAGGAATCTATGGGAGTTGATTCTATGCACACAACTCAGGGATCACCCCATTAGGGTCTTGAAGAAACCTCCTGACTTTGTTCCAAGAAAATCAAGAGAAAATCCACAAAGGACGCCATGGTCATTAGCTCACATTGAGGAATGGGAGAATTGTCTGGTTCCTCTGGATAGAAGTCATTAAAACCAAATGGAGAGGAAGGAATATTTTGCAATGAATTTTATCTACATGGTTGGCAGCTGTGCTGCCAGTATGACCCAGAAGGTGTTTCTCAGATAATTCCCTTGAGTCTCTTCTCAATGGCTCATCTATGGGCTGTGGGAAAAGTGAAAGATCTCCAAAGACAGGATCTGACCCTAGGCGCACCAGGTCTTCTCCACGTTCAAGTCTGCATGTTTGCCTATTCCTCACCGGATTCCCTCCAGCTGTTCTTCTACTTACCTCTATGAACACTCACCTGCCACACAGGTTCTGAGTGCTTTCCTAACTTGGCTGAGCTCTTGTAGGACGGCTGGGACTGGGGCTTCTTTAGATTGTAGATAGCGACGTTGCCGTCATAATAGCCCACGGCCACCAGGTAGGGGTGCTTGACATGCATGTCAAGGCACATGATGCCGCACTCGCTGCTGAAGATGTACTCTGGGAAGCTGGGGTTCTTCAGGGTGTATAAGAGCAGCATGCCCCGGTTTTGCTTCATGAAGTCATCTGGGTCAAGAAACCAGGATTTATGAACTGATGGAAGGAGTAAGTTACTATCGATATAGTGAAGTATGCTGGGGTAGAGAGCCCTAGACTTGGGGTCAGGAGGCCTGAGGTCTAGTCTTGCTTTTACCAGTCCTCTAGGTCTGTCCTTGAGCAAATCATTTGACCTTTCCCTAGGCCACAGTTTGCCCAACTGTCAAAAGGAGATGTGCTTGCCCTGCCCACCTCATAGGGCTTAAATAGGATATTGGAAATGAAAATGCCCTGAGAAGTTAAAGATGCCTACCATCAGCTAGGTGGTACAATGGATAGAGTGCTGGGCCTGCATTCAGGAAGATCTGAGTTCAAATCCAACCTCAGACACTTACTAGCTATGTGACCCTGGGCAAGTCACTTAACCCTGTTTGCCTCAGTTTCCTCATCTGTAAAATGAGCTGGAGAAGGAAATGGCAAACTACTCCTGTATCTTTGCCAAGAAAACCCCAAATGGGGTCACAAAGAGCTGGACACCACTCTTCTGAAATGACTGAACAGCAACAACTACTACCTATGAGAGTTAGTTACTGGTGGGTAGGGAAGGGGGGGGAGGGATTAGGCATATTTGAGGCTCATTTTTAACTCCCCCCACACCAGCCACTACACAGAAACCACTGGACACAGAATTTTGGGTTTGGAGAAATTGTGGGGTTACTTCTGTGTGTACGTGTATAGGAGGTTATATTCTTATGCTTTTAGAAAGTGAGAGCAGATTACATGGTTTATGCTCCTGTAGGTTAGCACTGATCTACTAATCCTGAAGGCCTAGTGGCCTGTGACTTTAAATTAATTTTGGGATAGTAATACTCATTCCCATTTTTCACTTGTTTGGCACATTTACTATTATCTTTTAAAAAAAACACTAGAGAAAATATTTCTTTCAGATAAAGACTTGATCTGTAATTGTATTTCCTCTTCTTATAAGTCCTCAGTGCTCTAGAGATATACCCAGCTAAGGAGAGCCACAAAGTCTGGGTCAGCTTAGAATCAAAAGCAGAAAGTCTTAACTCAAGTCATCTTTTTGTCCTCAACAGACGCATGTGGCACCCGCCCAATTTTAGAGAGTTTCTAATCTAGTTGAAGGGAATGGACATGTATACAAATAACCACAACACAAAGCTGAATGTAATAAGTGATACAAGAGAGGGACAAAATGCTTCCCGAGGACTGAAGCAGGAATAATCCCATCTGTTGAGGGCAGGGAGTTGGGGGAAGGGTAGAGCTACAACCAGAGAAGACTTCACTGAAGGGGTAAAATTTGGGCTAGGTCTTTAATGATGGGTAGGATTAGGCAGGTGACTATGAATTCAGATAGCTAAGTGGTGTAGTAGATAGAATACTGGGTCTGGAGTCAGGATAGACCCGAGTTCAAATACAGCCTCAGACATTTACTGTGTAATTCTGGGCAAATCACTTAATCATTGTTTACAACAGTTTCCCCATCTGTAAAATGAAGATGATAATAGCACCTACCTCCAAGGGTTTTTGTGAGAATGAGATAAGATTTGTAAGGCACTTTGCAAACACCAAAGTGCTATATAATTAATGTTATTACCCATTATTATTTTTCTCTATGGTGGGGAGGGCATTCCAGGTGGAGGGTACACAAATAAAAACACAGATGCAAGAAAGCATGAAGTATGTTTGAGGAACAGTGAGAAAGTCCACCTTGGTTCAAGCTAAACCACCCCCAATCCATTGTACCAGAGTCTATTAGAGACATAACATTGATCTTGGAGAAAGTGTGTGTGTAGGGGGCGGTTTGGAGAGGGGTGGAATTATGTGCTTATGTTTTTGGGAAGTGAAGCTTAGAGCCAGAATGAATATGACTTTTGAACATTTGTAGATTAGCCCTACAGCATTAGGAAAAACAGTGGAAATACAGCTAAAAAATGTAGGCAGGAGGCAGATCAAAGATGACCTTCAATGACAAGCTATGTAGTTTGGATTTTATTCAGTGGCAATGGGACCTGCTAAAGGTTTGTTTGTTTGTTTGTTTTTAATAGGGAGATGATATAATCAAAACTCTGCTTTGAGAAGATTAATCCGGCAGCAGTATATAGAACAGATTGAAAGAGGAGACACCAGGAAGTGGCAAGATCAATTTAGAGATTATTGCAATAGTACAGGTAAAAGACAGAAAGGGCCTGAACAAAGGTAGCAGAAGTAGAAATGGAGAAGAAAGAAGAGATGAGAGGTAGAACTGACTGTTACATAGGGTAACCTCCCTACTCACATGTTGAATTCTAGACACCCTTTTGAATAGAAAAATCTACAAGCATTCTTCTTCTGACACAAAATCATTGAGAAAGCTACCTATATTTCTCTCCAAAGTTCTCCTTTGAAATACTTTCTTTTTGAAAAATAAATTTGATTGATATCTTTTTTTTTTTACATCAGCACAACTTCTACACCACTGAAATTTCTCCAGGATCCTTTTCTTTCCTCCCTCCCAGAAAGCCATCCCAAAGACAATATTTTTAAAGAAAAAGAGAAAGAGAAAATCAGTAAAACTGATCAATACATCAAAAAAGTCTAAAAACATGTGCAACGTACTGTATCCATGGACCTCCCAACTCTCCAAGGGAATCTTCTCATATCTTTATCAAAGTATATTCTCATATCTTTTCTTGGAGTCATGCTTGTTCTTTGTAATTTTGTAACATTAACTATTGTGGTCATTCTATTTACATTGTTGTAGCCATATATAATAACTTCTGCTTACTTTACTTTGTATCAGATTGTGATATTCTATATTCACACATTTGCCATTTCCTGTAGCACAGTAATATTCCATGACATCCACATTATGTTTAGCCATTCCCCAACTGGTTGGGATCCACTTTATTTCTAATTCTAATTCTTTATTTCTAATTTCTAATTGTCACATGACAAAAGTGCTGTTACAGATATTTTGGTGTGTATAGACATTTTCTTTTTATTATCGACCTCCTCGAGGCATAATCTTACTACTGGAATATCTGGGTCAAATGGTAAAATACTCTTTTAATTCTTCTGGTAATTGTACTGTGAAAGCATTAGATAAGAATCCATCTTTAACACCTGCTAAACTCCCTTTTAACAAGGAAAGTATTCTAGAGCCAGACGTAGAGTCCATTAGAGTGATGGAGAAAGAAAAACAGAGCTGAAGCAGCATCAGGGAATAGAAGGCAAACATTCACAGGGAGATTGTCACAGGGCATTCTGAATACTGGAAATCTCAAATCTTGTATTCTTTAATCCAGGATTATGGTCTTTGGAGTCAAAAAAGGTCTCCAACTAGGGCAAAGTTCATCCAGCAGGTGGTGTTGCAGTGCTGCTAACAACCAGCAGGTAGCCTGGCTGGTGGGGTGGGGTATCTCATGAGGCTGGCAGCTCACCAAATGAAGCAAGTATTTTAAAGCAAAGTTCAATCCAGTTCAATTGCATAAGTTTGGGAAAGATAAAGAAACAGCAAGATTTGGGGTAAGTCAACATGGTGGACATCAACAATGGGCGTTCTGAGGCGAGGTGGTGAGATTGGAATCAATCTGGATTGGAGATGACTGACAGATTCCACATGGCTTGACAGGCCAGATGTTCTAACAGTTCTCTTCTAATGAGTGACACTCTTTGAGGACTCCCCAGAGATTACTCTACCTTGCTAGGGAAAGGGTGAATTGGTCTTTTAAAGGGCATCTTCCAAATATGAGTTGGAGGTCAATGGCATATTCTTGGATACATGAAGGCAGAGCTCTGGAATGTAGTTCTTGCCCCAGGAATGAGTTCATGAGCTCAGGTAGGCTTCCTGAGAGCCTAGGAAAAGCATCAATGTCTGGCTGAGAGGAGAAAGGCAAGGAATTGGGGGAAGGTATAGTCCTTCTTAGGAGGAGTTTCAAGACAGCCAGAAACAGGGTTTTTAACCCTAGACCTTAAAGTATCCCAAAGGTTTACCAAGTACCTTTTGGAAATGCAAAGTATGAATATCCCTTGTATGAAACAAGATCCTTTTTAAGTGACTGTGGTGGGTCATAGATTAATAACTGCTGTAGTCACATTGGTCAAAATATTGGCTGTATTCCACCCCAGGGGTGCTACCCCACTAGGCAAAAATCTGGTTTGCATAAAACCCAGGGGTGTCCTATAATTGGATTTGTGTGTGTATGTGTATGTGTGTGTATATACACACGCGTTTTTTCCTTTCAAAGAGATCTCTTTGTAGAAGTACAAATTATATTCAGACAAGTATATAATATTCATATAATAATTGGAATAGTAAATTAAAAATCATTGTCAAATTAATGAACTAATAAGAAATTTCTGTCTTAAGTAACTGAAGAAAGATCGTGGGACCATAGAATGTTATAAATTATCTTTCCAAGATCCTCATTTTAGAGATGAGGATAATGAGGCCTTTGTAAAGAGTTTAAGGGACTTACCCAAGGTCATACAAGTAGTGAGGAGCAGAATGAGGCTGGCTTATGATATTAATGCAGCAAACAAGGAACTGAAGAAGGAGATTAAAACTCTATTAAATTTTTATTGAAGTGAGCCAGAATACCAGGTCCATATGAATATGTCGTTTGTATCAGTATAAAAGTTATCCATGAAAATCAGCAAGTGCCAATATAAAAAGGCTGAAGACTGTACAAGAAGGGAGATCCCTACCCAGTGAAGACCATTCCCAGATTGGGGCAAAAGAAGATCTGGAATGACACCAGAAAAAGACACCATTGAGCTAAAGATTTCATCTGTCCAGCCCAGTCAGAGACTAGGTGAAAGCCTGAAATGGCAGAAAGGACAAAAGCTTCAGACCAGGTTGATTACTGGCGAATTAGGAGAGCATCTTTAAGAGAAAACATGGAAACTTAGAACAAAACTAGTCAGGACATTAAAAAAATAATAATGGGTAGCATTTATACAGTAAAACACTTTACAAATAATGTCTTATTTGATCTTCACAACAACACTGGGAGATAAGTGCTATC